ATGTAGCCCCCCCCCCCCGGGGCAATTACAAAATAAAGTCAGCGCAGGAGAGGAAAAATGGCCATAAAAACATTCTTTGTGAAATAAAGCAGTAGACGCAGAAAGGATGTCCATTCATTTTCAAATCAATTGCTTTTTTTTTTTTTTAAAGTACTCTCCCATATAATACTCAAGTCTAAGAATAAAAGCCGGAAGGAAGAGAGCCAACCGATAGATTGTTGGAAATACGGAATAGTCCGAAATATTAATGCAGCGCTAAGGGTGACTGGGTAACAAATGGTACATTTGCTTGCTGCTCAACCCGACATAATTAATATTCCAGGTCACGCTTAAGTTCCCATGATGGAGGTTCCGGAGGGAGGAATTCAAGAAAAATATATATCTATTATATAACTCATTGCCTTTTTTTTTTTTTTTGCCCCCCCCCATGAGCCAGAATCGTAGCCTTTAAAAAAAACCCGGTGCCTTCACACCTCATTTGCCGCACTCACCGCTGGGCCACCCGTCAGCAGCAGGGCCCGTGCAAGGAGGTCAGTGGGAAGCTATTAGCCGAGCCCTCTCCTGAGATTCCCTGGGCCTTATTGAGTTGAATGTTAGCATGACAGTACTGCAAATAACTCAGTTGTAGGCTTTTTTTTTTTTTTTTTTAAACAGTTAGCAAAGATTTCCCCATAGTGCTGGTCACTCCAGAAAATTATTGCTAAGAATGAAGTCCCACAGGCTAGCTTGGCAGCAGCCCTTCTCGTGAAAAATGTGGAAACTGAAAAATACGTCCCGGTCCCTGAGGATTAACTTTGTCTTTTGTGACTCCTGGTAACGTTTTTTTAGAGATCAACACCAAGCCGTCACTCACAAGTGGCTTGCAAATGATGAAACAGAGCAACCGGGACAGTAGTTAACGTTGTTGTTTCATTTACTTGAATAGCAGTCGTTCAGTGGATACGGGTCTCCATCTAAATAAGTAGGGCATTTGCTTGCTGTAGGGTTTGCGGGAGGGGGGGACTGTGTTCATCAATGATATTAGCAAATGCATTAAATTAATTTCTAAAATATTGACACCTGGAAGATTTTAAATGACACCTTTTCAATTCAATTAAAATATATTTGCTACCTATATTTGATCTAAATTGCAAAGAGAATACACATGAGTAGGTGTCCATCTAGGTTGCAAAATACAATCTGAGGAAGCTATCATGTCTGAGGATCTATTTGCATTTCCCATCTCGCCTGTGTACACATGTGCATGCAAATGTGGAGTGGGATCTAAGGAGATTTCTAACCGGGCAACGTTAATAGCTGGTAGCCTTTACCCAGGCAGATAGACAGTTCGAAGCATAAATTATAATCTAGTTAAACTGTATCTATTTTACTATTTTAATCTGTAAGCTTGTGGAAATGATATACTAACAGACTTCCTTTAATTAGGTTATCACTGAACAGAATGGTAGTTTCTTAGATCTCTGTCATAGGCTTATGTTGATTTAATTATATTTTATGTCAGAATAGTCTTTTGAATATAATATTTATCATTTTCCCCCCCTCATTACAACTGATACATTTTCAGCGTAGAAAATCGCCCTAAAAATTTACCATCCACTTACAAGTTACTGTCCACTGAAAGCTATTTTGAATATATAGGTGCATATATTTTCTTTTGTTCAGATCATTTAACTGTTTATGTAGCCACCATGTCCTATATTCAGCGTCATAGTGAGAGAGTGTTTACGTGACATTATAAATGGTGTATATAATTGTAATGTTTTCAATACTGTTTTTTTCTTATATGAATAAATCCTATAGAGGGGGGGGAATCTCAAACACAAGCCAGTTCAAAACAGTTAAAAAATATTCAAATATATTTACATTAACTCGGTTTTATCCGGTAAGATTCAGTCCCCGATGATGACATTGGAAGAGCTGGGTTGGCGGCGACTGGAACGGGCCTGTGATAGGCTAGTTTTCTAACTTCTAGATCACAACGTGCGCCACACACCCCATAGTTAATGGTTAGAATGCAAAATGAATGACTTAAGGCCGTTATTTTATACAGTCATATAAAAGGTACCCCGTGTGGCAGATGGGGACTGTCGCTCAGTGGTTTTTAGCATGTTTCGTCTCCAGCCAGCAACGATTCCGAGTGGCTGGTCTGGATGGAGACCGACGTGAGCCCTGTACCTTTTAACCTTCCCCGTACAAAAAGTGTCACGGCACAGCTTCATCTTCTTCATGCTTCATGTGAGCATTAGAGACAGAACTCAAAATTCGGATTTCCTCAGATTCCAGGCATATACAACTCGCCCTTCAGAAAGGAGCCCGACCCCTGGGAACTGCAGCTGCGGAAGGCAAAGCCCCTGACGCACCCGAAGCCCAAAGAGAAGCGGGGCCCCCACGCCAGCCCCAGCAGCTGGCTGGCCTGCACCAGCTCCCGCTCCCTGCCTTGCTCCGAAATCCTGCCGCCCATCGATAGGAAACGGTGTCAGGTACTCGCCCGCCCCACCCGGTGCCTAAGAATCCTGCCAATGATCCTGTTCTTGCTGTTTTTTTTTTTTTTAAATTATTATTTTTTTGTCTTTGTGACCATAAAAGAAAATCATTTTATTATAGGATCTCATTTTAAGTAATATAAAGTGTGTTTAAAACATATGCCAAGGAATTAACATTTCTTTGGTATTGGACTTTAATGTTTTGAGGAGGAAGTTAACACATAGGATGCTTGGCTAAGATCTAGCCTTTTATGTAAAAATATTGTTATAACAGTACCTGTTATAATCCGTTGTTGCCAGAAAGAGCTTTATGTAGTATCAAATATATTTAATGTATCCTGTCGCCTGACGACCCATATCTTTATATGTAATTGTAAATATAATTTAGGTTTGGGTGATTTTAAAAGTACGAGTTGGGGAATTAGAGAGGACCTGAAAGAAGATAAGACTCAAGTAGAAACAAACAAAGGATCTTCCCTGCAGACTGGGAAAGAGCGGGATTGGCAGTGACTTCCCAGAGCCAACGGGCGGGATGGGATATGTCATCATATCACAGTGGTATATGTATGAAGATACAGAATATATGCATATACATTTGTATAAATATACACATCAAATATATAATAAAAATGTAAAAGATACATATGATGTATCCGTTGTTATATATAACAAATAAAATATATATAATAAAAATATAAATATATTTATCAAATAGGGATGTATATACATACACACACACACACACACATATATATATCTTAACAGTGAACTTGGAATCATGTCACTGTATCTTTAAAAAATAAAGTTCCAATAAAAATTCATTAACTCCTTTCACATATAGCAATCCTCCTGTCCAGCTGTGAAAAGTACTGGATGATACTTATTTGCCATTTGTGTTATTTACGGTCCATGACTTTTATGGTAACTGGTTCCTATTATTGGTTTCTATTAATGTAAAACATAAGTGAGCATAAATGAGGCGTGAATCATTTCTTTTTATTAGCCCGCAGTCTTCGCCCGGTGCTGGCAGGAGCTCCAGCTGCGCCTGGTTAGGGACGGCCTAGTTAAGGACGGGTAGGGTTGTGATGAGAGTCCTGGTCCACGTTACATCCCTTCTCTCCTGCACCATCGCGGTGAAGAGAAAACAACATGCCCAGTAGAATCTCCAGCCGCCTCTGATTTGGATGGTGCCTTATGCGATGCTAATTAACCAGACAACCAGTGGATTCTGTAGCTGGTATAAGTAGCTACTAATTTAAACGCAGGATAGGCTGGGGATCCGTTTTCACAGCTGCAGCTTCCCGACTTTGCTTTGCCTTCTGACTAAATGGTTGCTATTGTGTCAAAGTCACTAAGCAATAAAATTTAGAATTTTAAATACAGAACACAATTAAAAATACAGCCCTACTATGTTTTTTTTCGGGGGGGGGGCAACAATTAAATGCAAGATTTGGCTTTCACCCGGAAGCTTTATTTTAATAAAGAAACACTCGTATCATTTTTCTATGTATATGCTCTTTGAAAGCTGTGCTCAGAATTGTTTCTAATATTTTTATTTACTCTAATAGGGAGAGAATTCTATTCAAATTATATGAGAAGGAACATGCTTTTTAAAATTTGAAAGTAGAGCGACCTGTAACTACGAGTTTAGCAGTTTTTGCATAAAAACTCTTTTGATGTGAGGGGAATTCTGCTTCATCTAAAGCATTTTTAATGTAATCACTTGTACTAATGTGGACATTTCTTGAAGATGTGACATTATGTCATTATTTCCTAATTCAGGGAAGAGCAGATTGTTCCTTAAAAAGTAATTTTAGTAAACTCGCTATGCTCCGTAGGTATTCAGTAGCCTTGTTCATCAATAATAATGAAATTAATAATGAATAATAATGAAAATAATTCCGTCACGAAATATTTGTGTCGTCCTGTCTCGTCAGGGCCCCTTCCGGGACATCACCGAAGTGTTGGAGCAGCGCTACAGGCCCCTGGAGCCCACGCTGCGCGTGGCCGAGCCACTCACTGGGCTGAAAGAGGCCAGAACGGAGCTCAGACGCCAGGAATGCGCAAGAAACGTGCAGGGGAACATGTGAGTCCTCGGCTTAAAAACAACAGCTGGACCACGCTCGGGGCCTTGAGTCCCCCGACACTTTCCATCCCCGATAGCGCAGAGAATCTTTCCTTTGTGAGCAAAGGTAAAGTGTTCAGCGGCCACTATTTTCAACACGCCCATGTTTTCGACAGGTCAGGACTGAGGTCAATGTTGGATCCAGTTGAATTGGCTCACGGGCCCACCCTGCCCCAGCGTGACCTCATCTTGACTTATTACGTCCGCAGTGACCCTATTTCCAAATTAGGTCACAGCCTTCAACACGTTCTTTAAAATAAGCCCGTTCGTGGCGCAGTATGTGGATCGCACCATCTGGGACACGTATTCTGCCCCCTTCACTGTTGGGAGCAGGTGAAAGGCCAGCCGCCCTGTAAACAGTCAGTGGCAAAGCTGAGCCAGCCCCTCGGGGTCCCCAGCTCCCCCAGTCGCGGGCTCGGGTGAGAAACATTCCGTGGCAGTGACGCGCGTGCATCTGCCTTCATGTCCCTCGAGCTTGCTTCTAGCTCAGACAGAAGCCTAGGTGGATAGTAGATGCCTCATTTTTAAAACTTTTCAATAATTTTCTAAGTGTCAGCACCATTTCCTAGATAGTACCATAGGGAAAGTTAAGAAACTGGATCTTTTTTTTTAAAAAAAAAAAATGTTTTTATTGATTTCAGAGGGAGGAAGAGAGAGAGAGAGAGAACCATTAATGATGAGTCATTGATCGGCTGCCTCCCGCACGCCCCCGACTGGGCATCGAGCCCAAAGCCCAGAGCATGTGCCCTGACCCGGGGATCCGAACCCTGACCCCCTGGTTCATAGGTTGATGCTCGACCACTGAGCCACACCGGCCGGGCTGGATCCTCAATAACCGTTTTTTGAAAGGGCCTTAAAGAGAATGTGGCGTATAGAGATGGGATGTGGTTCTGTTCATCACCAACGAATAGCAATAAGGAAACTCAACAAGCCTCGCAACTCTCTTTGACTTTCGGGGTTTTTCAGACACTTCACACCTCTGCAATTTGCATGTTTTCCAAATCGCTATCGTGTTACGGTAAGTGGGGATTAGCGTATATTTTCAGATGATGAGGATGAGAGCTGCCCCAACAAGCTACTGCTACGTTCACTCGACTTCTAGCGCCCTTGTTATTTTCTGGACGCTTGTCCCCTCTCGTCCTTCAAGCTCATCTTCCCTGTAGCGAGTTGTCCGTCTCTTACAGCAGCTCTTCAGGGGCGCAGAACCTCGTAGAGGTCAAATGCGAGGCCGGCCTGCGAGGCTGGCTAAGCTGTCGGTGCAGGTCTGGCTGCCTCAAGAGCCCCCTTTAGAGCCGTCCCCCAGGACGCATCTGTTATCGGGGGACGTGGAGATCTGCGGAGAACCCGCTGCAGCCAGACTTGCCCGTCCCGGCCACCCCCTTCACTTTGGGGGTCACCCTGTAAAAATTTCAGAACGTGTGTGCTTGCCTGATGAACTCGGAGGCATTTGGCATCACATCTGTTGGACATTTTCTGCATTCACGAAGCATTTGAGACTTAAAAATTCTTTGCGGGACATTAGCACCTCCCCTTAAAGAATAGGACAGGAGGGTTCGTAGAAGTTAGTAGCGAACAGCGGTCATCCGTGGCGGGGGTTGAAGTGCCCCTCAGGTCTCCTGATCCCAATCCGTGTGTCACCGTCACCATCCGTGACGAACGTACCGAAGTTTTTATTTTTTAACGCAGCGTCTCTAGAAATCCAGCGAAGGGTGTCATCTTAATGTCCTCCTCCCAGGTTTTTGCCGTTCTCCTGCTACCACAAGAACAGAAAGTACGTGCCATCGATGCACTCGTCGAGCAAGTACAGCCCCGAGCCTCACGGGCGTCAGCGTTTCAGAGACGAAAACCCCAAGAAATGGATCTGTGGCAAGGTGAGTTGATGCGACCCGTGAGAAAACGCCCCCCCCCACAAGGCTGAGGTGGACACCGAGGCCGGCAGATAGAAATATTCTGCTTACAGTGAGTACCTCTTAAAAAGTAAGTGGTTTCACCTGAGGACGTTAAGCTACTTCAGAGAAACAGATCCTTGTGCAAATGTTTCTCCCTGAAATAACAGGGCACTGCTTGGCTTTCTGCAACAGATCACCTCATACATCCTGGCACAGTCCAAGGACATGCGTTCATCTGACCGAAGTGAGCAGTTCATGGAAATGTAGAGGCTTTTGGGTGCTCGTTAAAAGGAAAAATAGGTTATTTGGGGTATTTTCTTTTTTTTTTTTTTTTTGAGGAATCATTGTGTGCTCTTATATACTTTTAGAAAGTACATATAATTAACGAGTTGATGACAGATCATTGTTCTTGTAGACCCTGAAAATAAAGCGAGAGAAGTACAGGAATTCTTTAAAGTTTAATAAATCATTAGCCTGGTCAAACCTCCACAAAACCAGGTAGAGAACCATCAAATGGGAAGTTCCGTTTCCCTTTCCCTCCCTTCCTTCCTCATTTCTTCCCGCTTCCGTCTGATCCCTTCAGGTAATTGTACTAAATAACCAAGTGGCCCCTCTCCGTAGCTCATGTAACCTGCACAGCACGAAAGTAGTCATTCTGTTCTTTATATGTAAAACCTTACAATTATTAAAAATACTTTTTATTTTTATTTGATATTAAGTGATTTGGGTGAGACTCGTGCCCAATAACCTGCTAAAAGCAGGGTTATTTTTCCGTATTATTTTTTTTAATAAAACTTTGTTTCTTGACCTTAGAAATTGGAGGCCACAGTTTGTTTACTTTTTGTCGCATAAAGACAGCTGTAGGGAGACTGGGTTTGTTTTGTTCAGGATGCTGAAGAGAGGAAAGGCCGGGATGGTCCTAGGCTGGGACTCCGGGAAGACGGGCTATTTACAAACAAATAGACGCACCTGCGACGTCGTTAACAGCAGGTGGATGGCGGCCAGGAAGCAGCTTGGCGCGGTGCTTTCGGTCCCCGTGTTTCACCGTCTCCATGATGTTTTGAGATTATTTGCACGGAGGACTTTCTCTCCTCTCACCTTCAAGCACGGAGGTTATAATTTTCAAACGCTTTGTTGCACAGTTGTGTTGGAGGGTGTCAGCTGAGAGAAAATAAAACGTTAATCTCTCTCTAGTCGCATCACATGAAATCGATGAAAACATCAAGTATTTTTAAGTACTTTTGCTTTACTATGAATGCTATTAATATGAAGGACATCGCAGAGTCAGCGAGCAGAGAGCAAATAATACTATTTTCTCCCAAAAGTATGAAAATCAATACTGAAAGCATAGACATCGATGTGCCGCTGATGTAAGTTACTCCTATTTCTTTGATCTGTTTGTAAAATGCCCCTAGTTAAACTGCGTGATTCTAGCTCCGTGTTCAATGGTCAGGCTTTTTTTTTTTTTTTTAATATGTCTTTATTGATTTCAGAGAGAGGAAGGGAAAGGGAGAAAGAGAGAAACATCAGTGATGAGAGAGTCATTGATCGGCTGCCTCCTGTGTGCCTCCAACTGGGGATCGAGCCCGCAACCGGGCCTGTGCCCTGACCGGGAATCGAACCCCGATCGCCTGGATCCTAGGTCGATGCTCAACCGCTGACCCACGCCCCGCCGGGCATGGTCAGGCTTTTGAAGTGCTGGTGTCTACTTTGTATTTATGAATTCTTCATTGTGCTCATGTCAATATTTAAAGTAGAAGTGAAACTTAATAAGGGGAACGTACTAGTCACTAGTAGCTTAATCTGTTCGGGTAGATCTGAAAGAGTTGGACACTTAGAAATTCAGGACACTAAAAACACTCTTTTGGTTGTCAGAACATTTACATACGTTCAAATTAACCGAAGCTTTAAGCCCCTTTGTCTCAGTTGGAATCAGTTTCCATTTTCACTTTAGACAACTGACGTTAGTGGGATTGTTTATATTTTCCCTTGTTTGCGAAACTCAGGAAGAGACTTTGAAGACGGTTCGCGTTGACCTGCCTTATTCCAGGCGAATCACCCCAGTAGCGCAGCCCTTTTATTTTTTGTTATTTTCCCCGTGTGTTTTGGTCCTAAACAGGATTTGATAAGCTACAAAGCATAAAAATATCCAGCCCTCCAAGAGAATTAGTCCGGGGGACCGAAGCATATTGCACAGAACATAAAGTTGACCTTTACCGTCGACGGCTCCAGGAATGGAGTGGGATGCGGAACATATCAGAGGCTTAATGTGGCACATCGCCGTCTGTGGAGACTTGGGTGGGACCGCGACTGCTTGGCCACCGCGCCCAGTGATTGACTCTGCTGTCACCAGAACCCTGATAGTAATGAGCATTCGGCTTAACGACCGTGATGATGATCCTCGTAATTGCCGTGCCCGGGCCGTGCGCGGGCATCATTAGGGCCGAGCCGCATGCCTCGGGGAGGGGCCGTTTTCCTTCCCCGCGTTGATTGGGATGAAATGCGCCTTCCCCTCGAAACAGGCCGGCTTCATGTCATTTTAAGGCTCTCCCTGTACATGCTGAGGGACGGTTATCCACTTGCCGAAAAACAGCCCCTTACGGTGGTTTGTTTTGTGTTGTTTCATTTCATTAGTGAGCGCAAACAGTTAAATAATTAGGTGTAATTGAGGGAAAATATTTTGCTTATGAGGATGGCCTGCGATAACCAGATATGCAGTTTGGGGCTTTTTTTCTTTCCCCTTTCCTCCCCCACAGCACATCGGGGACTGGAATCCTCCAGTTTCCTCTCTTTTATTACCCTTGCGTCAGACTTCTTGAGGTCAGTAGGCTTCAGGAAAAGTATGTTTATGTGATTTTTATTATAAATCTATAGGTGTGTTCGTATTTGCATGTATTGATACATATATTTATAGTTTATTATGCACTTCAGAAAACTGGACAGAGCCCAATATTGTTATATTGTTTATTGAAAAAATAGGAGTACATGGTTAGGAACTCGTAGAAAATACTTCTATTTCCCTTGTCTGCACTCAACCCGGAACCGAGAGTGAGACGGGTCCATGTGATCAGGTCTCCCTCGTGGGGCCTTTTACCTTTCCCAGCACCTGCTGCACCTGCTGAGGGCGCAGTGTGTCGGGAATGCTGAGTTTGTAACCCCTGCTGCAGCCCCAGGTGTCCACTCCCTGACCACCTGCCATATCGCAGAGAGATTTAACTAAATCTTCACGTTCATCCTAAAAACGACGCTAGAAGCCATGTCACCTGACTGGCCTGGAGAAAGCTGCAACCTGTAACTTCTGTCATATAAGAGGCGGATTGATAATCGCGTTTTTAACCCTGGATTGATTTACAGGTTACTTTTTATGTGGCCCTTATAAGGTTACAAACTTATAGGGGAAATTGTGAACCTGCTAGCATGTTAGAAGTTTAACAAATACGAACTGTCAGGTAACTAGAAAGTGATGACGTGATGCTCTCGGCAGCAGCTGACTCTCAGGCTATCGATGAAATACCCGAAAGGTGCAAAAGCAGTCGAACAGTTTCACAGCGCTGGCCGTGAGGACACAAATATTGACCTTACCCTCCTATTAAATCTATTCCAAGAGCTCTTTGCAAAGAGTTCGCCCGCCACAACTGGAATATTTAATAAAACCTAGCTTTCTGCCCCTGTAATTCCTCAGCTGAAAGCCCTGCTCCCTTGCTGAGGATCCAGGGCTCTGAAGAATAAATGGGTTTTAAAGAGAAAATTAGATGGTCCTTAGTATGCTGTCTTGCCAGCAGTGCCCTGTCATTTGTCTGTTGCGTTACAAACGCCTCGCTTTGCCTACCTCCTTCGTTTAATCATGTAACTGGCCCGTAAGCAGCCTTAGAGGGGGAAGACGTCGCCGTATTGCTCTTTCAATTGATTTCTTAGCCCAGGGACAGCTCCCACTGATTACGCTCCGCGCAGGACCCATCCCCTCCCGACACCCAGAATCTCCCGCATCCCCTCCGTCCGCAGTCACTGGCCTGGGCCGGACACTGGGAGACGGACCTGCTCCCTCCCCGCCTGCCTTTGGAAAGCGGTCCCCTCTCCCACGCGAACTTACGTCTGTCTGGCAAGTGTAGCGTTTTAAAAAAGTAAATCGCTGACATAAAAATTACAACCCCGTCCAAAATTAATTTTTCATAGGGTACATAAAATATAACTTCTGTGCGTTCGCTCAGTGTTTTATTGTTTTCACTTTATATTCTTTCCGAGTAGGTTTCGTTACGAATTGAATGATTCGTCCTTAGAAGGCTGGGCTGGAAGTATGTCTGTCCAATTTTTATTTATTTATTTATTTATTTATTTATTTATTTATTTTTTTTTTTTTTTTT